GATTGTCTAGAACTTAGCTCAAGCACTCATTTTATTGATTACCTCTCCGATTTACTAAGAAATTTTGCAAAAAATTCTTTTAAATTTTTCTTTTTTTTTCTTTTGTGTAATAACGTTTTTTTTAATTTATATCTATTTAAATATTCTTCAAATCTTTACAAAACACTTGGAATCTTTTTAAAGTTATTAATAAATAGTTTTATAACTATATTCTCTATTTAAACATTGTACAATAACGTTAGTCACACACTGTTGTTGTGATGGCAGCATGAATCAGTCACATTTAATACATGTTACGCCATACATTCGCTGCACATATAATGCATATAATGCGTATGTACGTACTTAGCAAACACCTAATAAATGCATAATGACACCATACACGGCAATGACGACAATAACAAACATGAATTGTAAAATGTCAAGTGCAAGTATGAATACCAGGCGCATAAATAGAAAAACAAAAAAAAAAAACAGCGCAAATAAGAAAGAAATTATAATTGGCTTAAACCGAACCTGTGGTTACTCATCGCTTGTTTATTTTCCTATAAAATACACAGCGTAAGTAAAGAAAGATTGTTGCTTTTAAAATAATTGAAACTAAAAATGTTGCATTTTTTTTATACCCTACACTACTTATGATACATGGTATATCAAGTTTGTGTGGATTTATGTAACCCAGGTTTAGGATAGACCTTCCTTTTATTTTGCCGATCATCTCAGAAAATGATTCTAAGCTTAATTGTTCGTCTGATGTCTGCCTAGGTATTTATGGGTTCAAGCTGCATGGTTGCAATTTTTACAATATTTTGATAAATTTTGGTTTGATCCACTTTTTCGACCACTTCCCACGTAACGCCACATTTTGAAAAGTCTTTATATCGAAAAAACTTCTATTTTCAAAACTTCTTGACAAAAGTTTCTCCATTCGAAATTGCTGTGCAACCTTAAGATCGGCTAGAGCAATGTTTTCAATCCCCTTAAGAACCCGTAAGAACGTCTTATTTTCTATATTTCATAGTGAAAATTTATTCGTAAAAGTAAATTCACAAACAAACCAATCTTATAAAGTTTGGACAACGTAGGTCTACTTTCCCTTTTTGTGACTATCACCGCATATAAGGATTCTCAAAAAATGCAAATCCTTTCATGCCAAAAAAGTTGTAAACGGTGATGCTTTACGATGAAAATTTGATATTGAATTAAACGGACCAACTTTATGGATCTATTTGCCGGAGCCCATTCGAGGCAAGATTTCTCACATATAGTAAGCCCTTCAGAAAAAGTTCTAATTTTTAATATTTCATGATGAAAATTAGTCCATATAAGCGATTGAGCAAAGAAATTAATGTTACGGGGTTTGAATCACATAGGTCAATTTTTGGGTCCCAGGGATTATCATGAAAGCAACTTCGCATGTCGAGAGAAAACCTAATTTCTACTTCTTTATTACGTAAACGACAAAACAACAACATTTTTAGGAAGTAAAGTAAGTCTGTAAAACTTGGATCAGATCATACGATAATTTGGGCAACGTCATATGTGTAGACATTCATGAAAAGTATGCTTTTGCACGAAAATAATGCTTAATTTTTGGTATATTATTATCAAAGCGAATGAATGACTCTACTAGGCGAAAGGTAGGTAGGTAAGGTCTTTAATGATCGGCCTAGCCTAACTCTAATGTTCTTGTTTTTATTTCTATAACATTACATAATCAGCAGTTTACTTACTTATGTCAACGGAAAGTTTCACATATCCGAAAAAGGGCATTTAATTACGTAATAAAAGGATATTTGCAGGAAATGGCTAAGCTATAAAATTTTCATTGCTTTCAATATAAAAAAATAACGTCACCAATTAAAGTTAATGCGACTAAAGATAAATTTTTGTAGATCAGTTTTATTGCTTTACATAAATGATAGAGATGATAATTGCCATGTTGACACACCGACGGATAGACGGTTTCGAGTAAATCAGACTGCCTATTTATGTTGATCGACTATATACACGTTAATGAGTTTTCCGATGGCTTTTCTCCACACATAATCTCATTCGGCGCTATTGCGTAACGATGCAAAGTTTTATTTCTTACTATGCTTAATTTGCTTAGCAAAACAAAAATATTGTCCTGGTTAAGCCTATAAAAAATAATTTTTAGATCTATATGATTAAAGTTCAAGGACATATGACTCGTGGCTCATCTCTGTCTGTATTTTGCGACACTTGCTTAGTAGGCAATATTTATGTTAATAGTATGCGCTGAAAAGTAGGCAATAGAACTTGGCGCAGTATGAAGATTAAATTATTTATATAAGTGTGGACGTGTTTTTTATTTTTTCATTTTCCACATTTTTAATATTCTTATGGAATAGCGATACAAATAAACAGCAATTCTCGCTATATAAGGAATCTTGTACACCTTTCATCGTAAGCTAAGGAATAAGCTAAGAGGAATCCAGATTACTTCGAACTTTATAATGTTTACTGTGAAAGTTTGAAAAAATTTTCGATCGTGGCCAATAGGTACCGTACGACTATACATAGTCGTTAAAATAACTTGAAAGAGTGCTTTAAATTTTTCTCCAGCTTTCTTTAAAGCTTGTCTGGGAGGCAAACTATCGGTGCTCTTAGGGTTTCCCTTTGGAAAAAAAACTATGAATCAGATCTTACTTTCTATTCAATTATTTGCGTAGCTCGATAATTTCAATGATAATCAGACTGTAGGGACTAATATGATCGAACTGCTTGGGAATTTTGAGCTGATCTTTTACGAATAAAATAGCAGAGCTACTCCTTTTCTCTTGTTTTCTGGTGAGTTGCAAATTCGGCCCACTCAAGGACATAAAGGCATGGCTTTTTTCAATCGTAAGGAGGCCCAGCATATTTTTATAGATATTGATTCTTGTCGTTAAGAACAGAATGTCAAAACTGATCTGCAGTAAGTAGATTAAAAACATATAAGAAAAATATAAGCAGACATGTCTAAGTCTCCTCAAAATTTGCATTGGTCAAGAATAGTAATACGTGATGATTGATGACCAATTCATGCATTGCGTTTCTCTACGTTACAAGCAATGTAACAAAACCCATCTTCCCCTTTGGCTATATAAGTGTGTTTGCCTTTTAATTCCTTTAACCTGGGGTTGTCATAACAAATCGCATGACCCGTTTAACAGAATTCTAACAAATACCAGCTAACATTGACTAACTAAGCTAGTTAATATTTGCCTTTTCTCTTTTGATTGCCTAATATTGCTTTCCACAACAAGGTTTATACAACTACAACGCAAAAGAATTTTAATCCAATTATAATCTTGATATAACATCGTTGTAGTTTATTGTGCCGTTCACAAGGCCCCTTATAATATACAACCATCTCGCTTTTCCCTTTCCTATCGTATTAATAGGTTGTTGGAAAAGTCATTTCGTTTTTCCCACCAAGTGAAAGAGCTTTTCTTTGATATCTCATCAGCTAGGGAAAGTTGAAAGTAACAAAATCCGGCATATTTTAGTTTTTTATTATCGACAAGAAGGAAAAAAATGATTAAATGTGTTTTAAGAAGATGACCAGTGCCCAAAATGGCTTACACAATACCGTTACTGCCCATTTTGTTATTGAAGACGTATCACGTACTAGAATGTCAGTTGGATCGGGTTTAAGTGATGCAAGTCGTCGAGTAGCAATTCGTGAGATCGCTAATAACATATTTAATCACAAAAAAAAAAAAGCAAAAAAAAAAACGAAATAACTTTCCGAACAACAGATTACCAATTGTTTCGATTGTCAGTCAAAGGGAATTTCTTTCGTAAAAATCTTATTCAAAACGCTTTTGTTGTGCAATTATTTCGTTATAATTAAATTTGCGCAAAAACTGTATAATATTTCTACTGACTTTTCAACTAACACATAATAATCGATATTAACTCTTTCGCAAAAAAACGTTTTGACATTATTTCGCAATAATGGCCACCTATCATAAATGATGCATCAAGAGAATTGAAATAAAAATTTTAATTTATTCGAAATAATTACAAATTAAGAATTGTTCACGTTCAAGTAGCATTTAACCTCAGGCAAAAAATCTTAAGCCGAATATCACATGTCTATCAAGATGTCTGTCTTCATATATATATTGTATATATATTGATAGAACAGGTAAAGAGTGTGACATATGAAATGTGGTAGAGAGAAATGACAAACAATGAATAAAGATAATTAAGTGAATTTAGATTTATAGTAAGTAAAGTAATCAGTGGGAGGCGGTATTTGATATTCATAAATGGCGAAAAAAGATAAGAGTTTTTTCATCACGTAACCTACTACTAAACTAAACTACGTTGTGTTTTCCTTAAAAATAAATTGCCCGGAATGCTAAGACGATATTTGTAGAAAATGTTATCAAATTCTTGCGATTTTCCTTAAGAGTAACCTATCAACTAAGCTAAGATTATATATGAATCGAATTCAATATTTGTGAAATCTGGATAATGATAATTTCAACGTCGTTGATGAAATTTTCGCTAATTTCACCTAAGCGCTCTTTCTTGACCTTAACTGCGTCCAGAAGAAGCAATTTTCAATGATAATTGGACAATTTGGATCCTTTGCTTTCTTCAATGCAGCTCAAACCCCGTCCGTGTCTCTGTAATGGACATATATGGTCTGTAATATGTAGATATAATAAAAACTAAGTTATATCAGACGTGGGCTAAATTTTTTAATATCTTGATTTGTGTGCAATTTTATGCTTGCGATATACAGCGAAGATCCATTCACTTAATATATGGATCGCAGATCGTATCGTAGGTGGCCTATACACCGTATTTATTCAAGTTATATTATTATACGATTTGGCAGCACTTTAGAGGTAACTATACGATATAAGAGCTTAATAATTTTTCCGAAGAAACCTCTCACCAGTAAAGGTGATTTCAACATGGGGACACACAGACGGGCCCGATTGTATTATTGTAGCTTAAAACCCTTACAAATGTTTGCGCAACATCAACCAGTACATCGATAATAACAAATTCAATGGGCACCTCTGGGGAGTATTGTTTACCCATTTTATCAACCTTGCTTTTTCCAACTTTTTTGTACTCTTTCTTAATCATGTAAGTAGCAGAAGCGAAAGAAACGATCTCAAAAGCTGAGTGTTAAGTGTATCGTATTGTAATATAGTGGCTAAAAACATCTATTGCACTCACCCATGTCCTGAGCCATCCATCTTTGTGACTCCTATTAATCCCGAACCTTCTTGGATTCGGAGCGTCAAACCGTGTTCCCCCTTATGAAATGTTCGCCAAACTTGACATCTGATACTACGGGGGGCTGCGCATTCGCACAGGATATGATGGGGCGTTTTCTTCGCCTTCTCCTAGAATCTACATGAATCGGTGTTCGCGTCATTCGGATGATATCTGAAAGGTAAGCGTTATGTAAAAAGTTGAACTAGAATATTAGGAAAACAAAGGCATTAAATGAAAGACTTTCAAGGGATGTAAGATCTAGAGGAAGTAGAGGACTGAAGCAAGAGCTCTCTGACTCATGCTGAAATTAGATTTTTTAAAGAAAGCATAATCTGAGTATCTGTTAACAAGCTTCCAACCAGACTTATTCGAACCAAGAAAAAAAAATTTAAAGTATTTTAGAGAAAAGACTTATATGCCTACCGGAGATCGAGGAATAAAAGCTTCCCAAAGTTTATTGAGAATAAAAAAAAAATTTTAAAAAAATCGAGAAGAGCCAAAACGTATCAAACTACAGAGAAATACAGGGTATACAAGATTCGCCTTAATGCCGCTAAAACATTTTTACCAGTTTTTTTTATTCTTTTCCTTTCCTTGAGGCTTCTAAGGTGTGCCAATCATACGGAGATGCTGTTGTTGTTTTTATATATATTTTTTTTCTATTTGGTTTTCATATCGTTATAGGAAGTACTATACGTGTTTAGTTGTGTTAACGGTATCTGCTTACACCAATATAAACATGTTTAGCTAATAGTCTATCTTTTTATTTATTTTTTTTATATTATTTTTATTTTATTACGGTAGGTTAGTGTTGACGTATTATATATAGTTTGTGGCTTTACGTTAAAGTGTGTTATCTATCTTAAATGCACCATAGTAAGTAAAAAATAGTAATAAACGAAAAAAATATTAAAATCCACCTTAATCAAGGTTAGATATGTTATTGCTTTGTGAGCGATTATTAGAATATATTACGAAAAAAAATCCCAATGATAATAACAACAACAAAAAGAGACCAACAAATTTTAAGAACAAAAAGCAGACCTTAACTTTAAGTAAAGGAACCTGTTTTAGGGGTGTGAAGATAAATTCGAATTTAACTATCAAAGACACTTAGCATTTCTGTTAACAAAACTCCGTTAACGACTTAACAGAGATCTGTTAATTTGTTGTAATCTGTGTATTTTGTACTGGAATATATTGTACTACAGTATAGTGTATTTTGTACTAAAATGTATTGTACTACAGTATAGTGTATTTTGTACTAAAATATATTGTACTACAGTATAGTGTATTTTGTACTAAAATATTTTGTATTACAGTATAGTGTATTTTGTACTGGAATATATTGTACAACAGTACAGCGAATTTTGTACAGGAATATATTGTACTACAGTATAGTGAATTTTGTACAGGAATATATTGTGCTACAGTATAGCGTATTTTGTAAAGGAACATATTGTACTACGGTATAGTGTATTTCGTACTTGGATATATTGTACTACAGTATAGTGTATTTTGTACTAAAATATATTGTACTACAGTATAGTGTATTTTGTTCTGGAATATATCGTACAACAGTATAGTATATTTCGTACTAAAATATTTTGTACTACAGTATAGTGTCTTCTGTACTAAAATGTATTGTACTACAGTGTTGTGTATTTTGTACTGAAATATATTGTACTACAGTATAGTGTATTTTGTACTAAAGTATTTTGTATTACAGTATTGTGTATTTTGTACTCGAATATATTGTACTACAGTATAGTGTATTTCGTAATAAAATATTTTGTACTACAGTATAGGGTGTTTTGCACTGGAATATATTGTACTACAGTATAGTGTATTTCGTACTAAAATATTTTGTACTACAGTATAGGGCGTTTTGCAATGGAATATATTGTACTACAGTATAGTGTATTTCGTACCAAGTGTACTTTGTACTGGAATATATTGTACTACAGTATAGTGTATTTTGTACTAGAATATATTGTACTACAGTATAGCGTATTTTGTACAAAAATATTTTGTATTGCAGTATAGTGTATTTTGTACTGGAATATATTGTACTACAGTATAGTGTGTTTTGTACTAGAATATATTGTACTACAGTATAGCGTATTTTGTACAAAAATATTTTGTATTGCAGTATAGTGTATTTTGTACTGGAATATATTGTACTACAGTATAGCGTATTTCGTACTAGAGTATATCGTACTACAGTATAGTGTATTTTGTACTAAAACGTATTGTACTACATTATAGTGTATATTGTACTAAAATATATTGTACTACAGTATAGTGTATTTTGTACTAAAATACTTTTGTATTACAGTATTGTGTATTTTGTACTAAAATGTATTGTACAACAGTATAGTGTATTTCGTACCAAAATATTTTGTACTACAGTATAGTGTGTTTTGCACAGGAATATTTTGTACTACAGTACAGTGTATTTTGTACTAGAATATATTGTACTACAGTATAGCGTATTTTGTACTAAAATGTATTGTACTACAGTATAGTGTATTTTGTACTAAAACATATTGTACTATACTAGAGTATAGTATATGTATATTATACTAGTATATAACGTACTTTACTATACTACACTATACCAGTACTATACTATACCGTGCTAGTACTATACTATACTATGGATAGTATACTCACTCCCATTTTTTTCTAACATACCAAATTAAAAAAAAATTGTTAAAAATAGTACCCGAGAGAAAAGTTTGAATTTTTTTTGCCCGTTCGATAGGTACTGTTATATAGATTCACGTGATATAGGTGAATATATGTGACATTTTCTAGTTTGGTCGCACTAGAGTCTCATATTTGGGTGTTCTTCCGTATCCATTTTTCGTTAACATGCCAAATTTCAAGGCACCCTCAAAAATAGCTCCCATAGGTAGAATTTGAATTTGTTTAGTTTGTTTGAAAGGTGTTTTCATATAGATTCTTGAAATGTCCACAAAAATGTTTCCCTTTTTTTAGTATGTATGCAGTAGGCTTTCAAATCCAGGTATATCTTAATTGTAATTATTTAACAGAGCTCTGTTAAATCGTTAGTCGTTAACGGAGTTTTGTTAACAGAAATGCTAGGTGTCTTTGCTAGTTAGATTCGAATTTATTTTCACACCCTTTCTTTTTTTCAAGTTTTTCTATTTAAAAAATGGTTCTTAAGCCGCTTTATTCAAAATCTAAAGCCAATAAATAAATTTTGTATAACACATTGTCACAAAAATTATCTTTTTATTTCCCTTCCTTTCCCCTACCTACCAGCAAAAAGAAAATCTTTTCATACATTACCGCAATGAGACTAACTATAGAGTTGTTGTTGTTGCTTACCCAGAATATTATCGAACACATCATGTTTGTTTATTTTCGTAAAATTTCTTCAATAGATTCAATCCTCAACTAACTACCTTTAGATTTACTAGGAGTTTATTGTTATCATCTAACTGCACACTATTCGTTACTAAGCTATTCATTTGGGTTACTAGATCGTGAAACATCAAAATTTAGACTTTAATGCCGTATAAAAATTCCTTTTTAATTAAACATTTTTATATGGGATCTCGTCTAGCAACTCAATGGTCGTAGGTTCAAATCTCAAGAGGAATACAGTTTTCAATAAAGCCAGACAAGTCTTAAAATGCTAGTGCTTTAGGCTTTACTCTTAGAATTTAATTTTCCGCCTTAATTCATCATATGTATTTATATGTTATATACGGATATATTTATAATAAATATTTGTATATTTATATCCCGCAAAATAGCGATGATCTCTAGATTGAAATCGAAAAAACCGGGCAAATATTAACTAGACGGATGGACAGACAGGCTTAAATTAATTAAGAAAATTTTCCTCATTCCGTTAATGTAGTAAAAGGTGAGTTTATTTCAAATATAGTTATTTTGAAGAGCGAGAAATAAGTTAACTAACAATCTGCTTTGTCTGTAGAAATACGTGGCTTCACAGATGTTTCTGTCTAGATCCGTCAATCCGTCTACATTCTTGAAGAATAAAAGGAATCTACCCCTCCTCTATCTGGGCATGCATACATATGCATACATTTTTTTATATAAACACATGGCATAAATTCATCTTTCATTTTGGACCATTACACTCTTTCTCCATGGCTAGTGCTAGGCCAAGGCTAGGTCTTACTTACTTCATTTTGTGCTGGTTGATTACTAACGACTAGATTTTCTTAACGAGATCTGTTAAAATTGCCCATGCCAACAGAGGTGGTCGCGAACATCAGCGGACGCATTAGCCCAATGTAACACAAATAAGGCAAACTTTGTGTAAGAAGTAAAGAATTGAAAAATCAAATCAGAGAAAGACAATTTAGAACAAATAAGTTAATAAATAGACTTTCATGACTAAAACCTAATAGAGTGAAATGAAAGAGAAAAAATTAGTTAAGTAGGACATAGAGGTGCGCCACCACATCGTGTTCCGATAACTTTAATCTCGATCTGTATCATTTCACAACACACCAAACGCTTCCAAAAACTATGAAATTTTCATGAAAGTATGCTTATGCAGGCTCTCTGCGAGCAGGGCAACCAAATTTGATCGCTTATATACGATATATATGGTTTGTGGCGCATTCATCCAATGTATTCAAATGTCTCCCGATAAAATTTCATTAAAAATTTTCTTAACACATTTCGTTGAAAAATTTAACTTATTTGCATAAATAAAAATTGAATTCGAAGTGAATGAAAAGAAATTCATTTAAAAGTTTAACATAAGCAATACATTTGTATGCTTATGCTAACGACGATAATAATACTGTTGGCGATGACAACGATTTGACATTCAATTAAGTAACATATCGCAAAGAAATGAATGATGATGACCTTGAATAATTTTGCAGGCATACGTATATATGCAAAAGTAATACAATATGTAACACAACAAAAAAAAAAGAAAAAAACAATAACAATAACAACACCAACAACAACGATAACTAAGCATACATATGCGTACACATATATATATATATATATATAGTTATAATTTAACCCAGAAGCATACAAAGGAATCCTGACGTAATCGAGAAGGAACATGTGAATTATGATAGCAACAGCAATATTTGCCAACACTATACCTGTTGTTACCTGTTTAGGTGAGTTCAAGTTTTCTTCTTTTTTTTTTTTTTTTTTACTTTTACGTTTTTTTTTTTCTTTTTTTTTCGCTTCATTTTTTTTTTCAGATGCTTCATCGTGTTTTATTTAATTTTTTTTAATGATTTTTTGGAAATTCAATACACTTAACGTGTAGCTCTTTTTGTTACCGAGTGGAGTGTTACGCTTGCCGGTATTTTATATATACACATGCACATATATATATATATATATATAGATATATTTTTGGGCAAGTGGTGCTCTTAGGTATAAGTTCAAGCTTTGCTAAAGTTTAGTGACTGCATTTGACTTTTACATGTCGTTGATTATTGTATTGATTGTTGTTGTTGTTGTTGTTGTTGTTGTGATTTTACGAAAACAATAAACAATAAATGACTTTTTGGCGTGTGATAACAATCGTTATGATTTATATAAAGTTTTTAAATAAATGTTTCCATATTAATTTCTCATTAATTTGAAAAAAAAAAAACAAATTTTCGTTCGCATTTCGCCGTTTTTGGTTTTATTTTGGTATTTAACAAAAAAAATTAACTCAATTTCATAGGAATGCTTTAGGGGCAGCCGTTATCGTGAAAAATTGTATGTTTGTACCTTGAGTAAAACAAAAAAAAAAAAAGGGGCAAATGAGAAAATGAATAATCACTATACCCACTATCTCTATCTTAAATCAAGTCAAAACATTATAGTGGGCCACGGACAATCATTAAATATCCTACATCAACCCGCTTGATACCATTATTCATATAACGACTTTTCAAAATAAAACGTCAATGGGACATGATTGGAGAAGTGATCCGACCCCAACTATCTTTAATAGCGTTCGTCCTTGGGCTAAAGCGTGTGAGCATATTAAATTTCATCAAAAGAATTCAAAAATTGCAACCTGTAGCCTGAATGCAGAAAACAAGGTGGACAGACGCACAGACAAAATTCAAAAAGTGAAGATTGGGTCTATCGCAAACCCGTCTGGGTGTTGCATACATCAACGCAAATTTAAAATATCGTTGCGTCACAAATGGTGTAGGCGATAAGGAGCAAAAAACATCATTTTTTTACCCTTGAAAATAGAGGCTTTCTCAGTTTATGCCGTCTTGTAGCATGTCCTTTGAATTACTTGAGTTATTCTCGCCATTTGACGTAACCTGCGTGCAAGAATTTCCATTGTGAACACATTTGAACGACAAGGATGGCCCCGTTGCAATTATTGTTACATCAGAAGTATATAGGTAATAATTATTTGATCCCATTGACTGAATCACAGCCCCTTGAGAAGGTGTAAACTGCTTTTGCAGATGAGTTGCACATGTGAAATAAACCAAAATTTATTTTATTTTATAATACATTAATAACTTACCCCCAATTTGCTTCGCTTTTCTCACTCCACTATCATGACGCATATTATTTATTGCAGTGAATTAATGTCAAGCGCTGTCTGCACTATAATGCTTATTATTTAGTCTCTGAGTGCAAGTATAACAAGTGCATACCTGCCGAATTTTATTTCTCATTGCAAGTAGAGAAAGTTACGTGTGCGAACTCATCGTCAGTAGTTTGTTACCAACCCTGTTTTAGCATAAATTTGATATTAAACGGTTTTATTGTAACCATAAACTTACCCATATGCTAAAATACAAAATTTATTACAAAGTCATGAAAACCGTAAGAACAAAACCACAATAGAGAAAGAAACAAAGTCATGACTAGCGACCGGTCATTATGCCACAATCTAGCTATTAGTTGAGACAGACAGAGACAATTTGTTAAAAATTTGTTTATCTTCTATCACACGTGATATAATAGTGACAATTTAAAAGTCTTATTGTAATAGTGCCAGTTAATAGCCAAGAGGCTTTTATTTATTTAATTTTAAGTTAGACAGACACTTATCTGCAAAGTTAAAGTTAATTGAAGTTAAGTTTTTCATGGGAATTAAATTAAAAGAAAATTGAAAGTAAAAAGACAAGTAAAGTACGGATTAGATTCTTAAACCTTAAATTGTTGAAACAATTCTATGCCAGTATGCATGTGAGAATGCAATCGAAGAGGACCATATCCTCGAACTTCTCTACCGCTGATAGTTGGATAAAAGTGGCAATGCATGGTAATCCTCAATGAGAAAGCATGCTTAGGAAACTAGGTAAAGACCTTAGGTTAGAGCATTTGGACTTTGACTAATATATATCTAAATGGACCACGCCCATTAGGGCATGATTACCACATCTACTAAAGTTTTTGATGTCCAATATCAGATATCTATTTCTATCTATTTCAAATTTTATTATCGAATATTATCTTCAGCAACAATCGGGTGGACCGACGGACCCCTAATCTGACGTTGTCTAGTATGTATATTGTATTTTTTTCCATGCTATCAACGAAATTATCGGGAAAGGCTATCACATCTTTCACAGATATAAAAATATCAATGCATTCTACTCACGTGCCAAGTCCTCGCCTCTATCCACCGCTGCAATGGTAGGCAAAATGGTAGGCAAGCCATCCTATTGATGGTTAAAAGACATTTTGCATAGAGGATCGATAGCAATCTAGGTAAATGACTTAGGTCTCATTATTTGGATACTGATTACGATAGACATATTTGCAAGCGGACTTGATTACGATAGACATATTTCTAACCTTTATATGTACCTACAATTTAATGGTCAAACATCGTCTGCCGTAATTATTATTGTCAAGAAATTTTCAATGACTGTCGGACAGACAAATGGACACATAGTTTATTGGCTTAAAATTTTACATTCAGTATCATTATATATATATCTATATCTATAGATATCTATATATATAGATATATCTATATCTATAGATATAGATATATATATATATATAGATCTATAGATATATAGATATGTCCATGTTACCGACAAATTTACAAATTTAGTATAACTTCATTCTTTATAGGTCGTTTAAAAAAGAAATACAGAAATCTTAAATACCGCTAAGACAGAATTGGGTTAAAAATGCATTTAATAGCATTTTGTTCATTTATTCGACTATGTCATAAGCACATACTTACACACAAATCTAACCAAAACAATTACATGCATAGGCCTATATACGCATAACTCCGCGCATGCGTATATGTACAAATTTATATATATACTTTATGCCTAACGTTAAGCTACCAGTTCAACCGGGTTTGGGTTAGGCACCCAACTAGACATTTTTTGCTTAAAAGAAAAAAGAATGAAAACCATTTAAATAAAATATCGCACAATTTGATTCTTTGTCTACAGCATACACGTAAGATATGTGTTTTCCTCTAAGACTTACACTGAATAAATTTTTTGTTTTGTTTTGTTTGGTTTTTTTTTTTTTTTTTTTTTTTTTTTTTTTTTTTTTTTAAAAAAAAATAAAAA